ACACCTTGGACTCTCACTTTGCCATGATCTCCCCGAACTACCTTCTACCAGCCCAGAGCTGAGAGATGGGAAGACGTACCCTGAAGGGTCATGTCCCATCTTTGCCAATGGTGCAGACTGGCAGAAGGGAAGACAGGCCCACATCACACTCACACACAACATGGTGTCACCATTATACAAGTTATCAGAAACCAAGTATTAGTATTTAATTGATATTCTTATAATAAGTTAATTAACAGGCGTATATGCAAAGAATTGGACAACCAAAGGGAATTTTCTATTATTATTAATTAGTAAGATTGGCCAAAAACAAGTCTATCTGGAAACTTTTAACACAGTCTATTTCTCTGTATTGAGTAAATTATTGTTGTTAATGTGCCCAGTGATTTATGGTGGAAACAGAGCACTTTGGAGTAGCAGCACAGGCAGGCCTGTCCTAGTCTAGTCTATACTGGGGACCTATTTTTGCAGCCTGACTCATTATGCAAATCTATTATTCCTTTATTTATAAGAAGAAATTGCTTCAGAGCTTTATAAATATTTGTTCAAGGACAATATCAAATGAGCACCAAAGCTTTTAAATAATATCTTACTGTTCTAAATTGAAAATCTTTTTTTCCATGGAAAAATTCATCAGCGCACATGATGCTTCACCGTGAAGAAGGAGCTCAACAGATGAGACTTTCTCGTGTGCTCCCAAAGGATAGTGTAAGTGACTTTTATTTATTAGTAATTTCACATCCTTGTACATAAATCATTTATTAGAACCAATAACATGCATTTCAAAACAATGTTACTTAGTGTAAACTAAGAAGGAAAATGTGTGGGCTGGAAGGAGTGAGTGCTAGAGGCATCCATCTGTAAATCCTGCCGGAGTTCTGTGATTTCCAGTGGTGCTTTCTCCTGTAGAACTGTGCACCGCTGTGCACAGCCGTCTCCCCCTTAGTAAAAAGCCATATGGGGTATTATAGGGTCTCATATAACTGATATTTGAATATTGCCCATTAAAATGATGCAGTCGTGTTTATTTGCTAAAGTGAAAAAGGCATCACATTTAATAAAATCTTTCTCTCCCTTCCTGTGATTAGGCTGATAAGACACTTGAATTCCTATCAGGGAAGTGGATAAAACTGTATCATATTCATAAAGAATGGTAAAATGAGAAACAGACTGGAAAAAACAGTTGAAAATGAAATGTAGCCAGGTGTGGTGAACAACATGTTTAATCCCAGAACCCAGGAGGCAGAGGCAGGCAGATCTCCATGAGATGGAGGCCAGCCTGGTCTACTTAGCCAGTTCCAGGCCAGCTTAGGTTACAGGGAGACCCTGTCTCAAAAAAAATCAGACAACCAAACAAAAAAAGAAAATGAAATGTATTTTAAAATTGTGCAGTCATGGGGGGGTTACAAAGGAAGATGCTCACTTCATAGTGCTGTTGACAAGGACTGTGGGATGCTTTCAACCTGTTTACTCAGCAGTATTTATCAGTAAAGTAAGAAAAAAGACACAGATTCCCATGGAAGTCACCACAAATGACGTTTAAAAAGCAATTTGGCTAGTATGTAAATTTGAACAACAATGCAACCCTAGGTCCTAGGATGCAGCCACAGCTGGACTTCCCTCCCACGTCCTCTGTTTGGTCACCTGACCACACAATGACTCAAATCTTCCACATACTGCAAAATTCAACTGAGGCCTAGAGAAATCCAAAGATTAGGTAAGGATTCCTCTATTGAGCGGACAAATCACCAAATACTTCGCCAAGAAGTTCCAAATAATTCTATTGAATCTTTTAGAGATTCAGTGCTGCAAAACATTCACTGCCCTTAAAGGGAAGAGTTAAGATGCAAAAGTAGTGACGTGGTTAAATATAATTCATCATATATCATTTATGTGAGCCAAAGAGTGACGATTACCTTCAAAATGACAGAGATGGTAATTGACAGGATGGACTTCCTCTGTGTCACAGCTCCTCTTAAGGAAGCTTTTGTTGTTGTTGTTGTTACTGTCTTCTTTAAAAATGGACTGGCTGACTGGCACTTAGAAGACAGATATACCAGCTGACCTTTAACCTTCTCTTTCATTATCTTAACCACAAGCATCAGAGTTGCTGACTGGCACGTTTGCACTTTTGGGCCTTTACCACTTGAAGGTATTTGATAACTGTCACAGCACTGTCACAGATGCTTTGAGGAACGTGTTGGAATAAAGACAGAATGGATTGCCATATAGCTCATTAGGCGTTCTCTTAGGCATTAAATTTGCATACTTTTATAGGAATGGGGCACATGTTTACAGGGTATAGTTCTGTTTTGTAATGAATTACAGAATAGCATCAAATCTAATTTAAAGTACAGGGGTAAAAAACGAAGGGAAGCTCTGTGACTTTCCTTCTAATGAAAAGCATGTCTTTGGAGTTGGTTGCAGTCTGCTAACCCTAAGCTTTCCTCCACCTGTCTATGAGCAAAGTCAACAGGAGATGCTAGAGAAATCACAGAAAACTGATACTGCTGCTTAACATTTGTGGGAGATGAAAATAAAAACTAAACGTGATAAATTACCTTTAAAACTGGGAAACATAAAAGTTCAATAATGGAGACTTCCTAAAGACTTATAAAATTAATATATGCGAAGTAATGCTGATAAAATGTGTTTCAAATGACGAAAATGCTTATTAAAATCTTAAAAGTTATTGGTTATCAATATCACAGAAGAAAGATAGACATTATATTATCTTAAGGAAGTTTTAAAAGTCAAGAGGTCTCCAAAATATTACAGAGTTCCATATAGATCTTGTGTGGATAAGGGAGTCTGAAAATTAAAGTGGTCCTACAGGACATCAACAGCCATAGGATGCCCCCACCCCTTGACCTGGAGCACCGCACTGTCACAGTGAAGACCTCCTGGAGACAGAACATGGGCCTGTTGTTTTCACCAACATACCGTTCCTTAGATCGCTCATTAGGAAGCCAAATGTGGATCTGTGTCATCAGAAGGTGAGTGGTGGCCCAGAACTTTCCCATTGAAAACAGTGATGCTCACCATACATAACCATCTGCTACTCAAACATACATGTTGCAGTTTCCAAGCTGTAACCTTGCAGCTTCTGAAGGCAACATGTTATTCCTAATTCTGTTGTTCAAACTTCTACAAGAAACTAACATATGGAGTAAAGAAGGATGGATTCTTATCCACTACGTGAACAAGTGCTCATCAGTGCCATCAACAATGCCAAGTTGTTCTACTACGGAATAACAAAAATCCATTACTTCTCTGTACCCAGATTCATAACAAAGGTACTGTATTATTAAAGCATGTTATTAGCATGCATTAGAATTCATGTATGAAACTAGCCTCAAGCATGTTTCAAAGGTACAAGTCACAGTCCACATTTTATTCAAAATATGTTGTGTGATTCGAGCAGAAATTTATCTCACCCTTCACCTTACACACCCATGTACAGTGCTTCTGTGCAATCCCTACTTATGAGCAAACTACCACCCAGTGGAGAAAAAGAAGATCTTTCAGGAAGATTGGCGGTGTATGCCAGGTGGGGGTGCCAGTGTAGGTGGGTTGATGGGGAGTGAAGGGACAGAGCAGGGCAGTGAGCCCTGTCTAGTTCCAAGCACTACAGTTCATCAATTTGTGTTTCAGTGGGAAAGGAAACATTTCCAGAGGGTCAATGTGCAGTGTGCTCTGACTCATGGGGAAAAGCAGCCTGGGATGCCCCTGAATGGCAAACATTTCTCGGTTCCTGCTTATGGCCAGGAGAGAGAAAACCAAAGAGCTGGAGGAAGGGAAGTGAGAGGTGCACCTGTGTGGTTTGGCTTGGCGCTTGTGCCTCTTAATCACCAAGGGAGAGTCTGAACTTGAAGTGGTCCTTACAGCACAGAAGTGCCAGCATGAGGATGGGAAAGTCTGTGAGGGTGTGTGCTCATAGAAATGAGATTTAGGAGGGTCTGAGAAAGCATGTGGGTGTGACAGGAAAGTGCATGGGAGATGAGAGTCAGCAGGTTTGAGGGTTATGGTGAGGACCAGAAATCAGGGGAAAGAAGGTGGAGGAAGGCGATGGATGGAAGGAGTGGACCATAAACCACAGTGGTCGAGATCAAAAGGGAGAATCAAACAGGGAAGACATTATAGGGGTGAAGGCAACGGAGGGGAAAGAAGGAGGTCGAGGAAACGGAAAAGGACGAAGAGGGAGGAGGAGAAAGAGAAACCTGGAAAGGAAAAGACTGAAAGAGGAACAGTGTTCAAGTGAGAGAGAGGGGAAGTAAATGGAGCTGCAGGCCAGCGGTGGGAAAAGTGCTTACTCGGGTGAGAAATGAATCAAACCCAACAACTTGTCCAGGAGTACCCTGACAGCCCAGCAGAGACCCCGGAATGGAATCCGAGTCCAAAGTGGCCCCCGCCCTCCTTCCAAGCCTGTCACTTCAGGCACCGGGCTCCCCAGAAAGTGTCTTTCCTCCCTAACCCAGAGAGCTCCCAGGCTCAGCTAGAAGGGGTCTGGGGGCTCCGGATCACCATGAGCGCCAGCAACATTCAAGCTGGGTTTGAAGCATGAAACAAGGCAGACAGAGAGAGGGGAGAGAGAGGGACAGACAGACAGACAGACAAGTAGGAAAGCTAGCACGCCGTTCCCCACCTGAGCACCGCGGTGTCGCCTTTGCGGACCAGCATGTTGTCCACGGACGCCCAGGGGAAGTCCACGCTCTGTCCAGCCGGGAGGCAGGAGGGTAGCAGGCAGCACAGGCTCAGCAGCACCGCCGCCAGCCACTGGTTCGAGCAACAAGCGCCCTGCACCAGGAGCACCATGTCCATGCCGGCCCGGCTGCTCGCTCTCCGGCAGCTTCGGCGCGCGCTCCCCACCCCTGCTGCTGGCGAGGCTGCCCGGGAAGCAGGCGGCGCGCCGCACGAGCTCGCCCCTTCTCTTTTCTTCCTGTTTTTGAGTGGGTGGGTGGGTGTCTTTTCTTTCTTTCTCCCCCTCCTAGTTGCGGGGTGTTGTTTCCCTCTTTCCTCTGCCTCGCCTCCTTCCTCCTCTCCTGCGCGCCCTCCCTCCCGCCCCGCCCGCCCCCTGGCACCGCGCTCCACCTCCTCCCGGGTGCTCGGGGCCGCGTCCGGAGTGCGGCTGATCCCCCGGCGGCTCGCGGGGCACCTGGCACCGAGGCGAGCGCTCTGCGAGTGCGGGAGGACGCGGCCGGGCTGCGATCGCGGCGGCGGCGGAGGCAGCGCAGGGCGCAGGGCGGCCGGCGGCCCCCGGGCTCGCGCCGTTGCCAAGCGGCAGTTTCCTTAGCAACCCCGCCCGGGGATGGAGGACCAGACAGGGAGGGGGGCCGGAATGGAAAAGATGGGTTAAAAAGAGGGAAAAACAAGAACAAGAAAGCAAGAAAAAAGAGGACGGGCGGGGTGGGGGGGGCGCGCAGAGGTCTAGCCTGGTGCAAAGCGAGAGGGCGAGCGCTGCGGAGCTGTGCCCCGAGGCTGCCCGGCCCGGGCACTCTGCAGGGATGCGGGCTGGGAAGTGTGTCGGTCGGAGACTCGGCTCGCCTGTCCTCGGAGGTTCAGTTCCCAAGGCCCCCCGACTTTAAAGTCCTGCAAGTTGGGGTCGGCGCCATCATGACGCCCACGACTGTGAGTTGGCTATTTTTGTTGTTGTTGTTAAATCCTGCTTTGGGTGGTCGCGCTGTTAACCAGCTGCTAACTAGTTCTCCCTCTCTGTTTTCGGTGGGCTGCTCCCTTCCTCCTTTGGGGGACTAGCTGGGGACAGTGGCGGGTGCTGCAGCTCTGCGGGCGCAGCCGGGGTTCGGGGCCTGGCGCTGGAACGGGTGGCACATCTGCCGGTTGGCCAGCGCGGGACTAGAGGGCGCCTGCCCTCCTCTGTGCGTCTGGATACTAACTTGCGCGTGTGCGTGTGCGTGTGCGTGCGTGTGTGTGTGTGTGTGTGTGTGGTGTGCGTGTGGCCAGCGCAGTCCCGGTGAGAGGGAGAGGAGTGTGCAGGGCGCGCGCCTAGCTGGGGTGCGCGCGGCACGCAGGCGCGCTGGGAGGCCTGGGGAGGGCGGTGCTGGGAGGCAGAGTCGGGAAGGGGCTGCAATCAAGGGTTTTTATTGTGTGCAGCTAGACAGCCCGGTTATGTAAGAGGCAGTTTAACCCCTTCGCGCCTGCAGACAGAAGGATCAGTGCGTGCGAACGAGACCAGGGCATTTCCAGGGTTTTGGGAGCCTTGGGCCGTATTTTTCTCCAACCTCCCAGCAGCGGTGGACTTGCAGAGAACAGCGTCCGTAGGCCTTGCTGCAGCCCCGAGCTGCGCAATGGCTAGCCTCCGCCCCGGTCAGCCCAGAGCAGGGTTCTTGGGGTGCAGTCACCCCGCGTAGTCCGTACGTTTTTTTTTAAATTATTTTTTTCCTTCTTGAACTCATTTTTCAGATTCAAGATCCTCTTGCGGACGGTTTACAAATAATAAGAGACTCGCTCTAGAGTGCACAGTTGTGTTAGCCTTGTGGGAAAGGAGTTTGGGAGCGGAAGTGAAGAGAGTAAGTAATTAGAAATAAACTTCCTCCTCTCTTATTATTTCTTCCCCAGCTCTCTGCCTCTAGCTGTTTTTTTTTTTTTTTTTTTTTTTTTTTTTTTTTTTTTTTTCCCTGTAGTCCCAGCTGATCTGGAACTTACTGTGTAGACCAGGCTGGCCTGGATCTCACAGACATCTCACCTGCATCTGCCTCCTGAGATTAAAGGCATGTGCCACCATACCCCAAAGTACTTAAAAGTATTTTCAGAGAAGCCTGTAGACTGTAGATGTAGCTCAGTAGTGGAATTCTAGTCCAGCATGTGTAAAGCCCTGGGCTTGGAAGCAAGCAAGCTTAATGTTGTTGGATTTTTTGTTTTTGTTTTTATCGCCATGCCTATGAGTGGATGAGAAATGAGGCTTCCCATCACCTGAGACCACCAAGACTGATCCAGGAGCCTCTAAACAGCATCACCTCCCCACTGGAGAACCCCTGCGAGGCTCAGCAATTAACAGAGAGGTTTGCAGCAGGAGCCACTGATGTGATTAGAATTCAGGCTTAATTCTCAGAGCCTGCTAGGGAATTGATAGCGCAGTAGAATTCAGCCTCATTTCGAAACATCAATAAAATGTTAGTCATTTGCGGATGAATGAAAACATTTCCTTTACCGTCTGGTGTGCTAGGAAATAATTGTCAAATGACAGCCTCCCGCTAATGCTGATGCCAAACACCTAGATAACGCTCTCATTTTGTTGACTGCATTTAGCATTCGCACCAGCGCAGGATGGATAAAGCTTAAAATTATCTAGAACAAATGGGGGATGAGAAGAGTTGACTTTCCTCCTACATGGCCAACTCGTTCTATGCGGCATTATGTAGAACTTCGGCACTGATGAACTAGACGCCAGTGGAGAGATGCCAGGGCGCAGAGTCTGGCATCCAGTGGCTTTGGCGATTTGAATGCAGGGATGGAGGAACCAGCGCCTCTAGTACACACTGTAGAAAAGCGTCCTTTCCCAACTGCTTCCCTGTCCACAGGGGTGGGGAGAGGGGAGGGTGGGAGGGAGGATTCTGGGGCCAAGGATGGAGCTCTGCAGCAATTTTAATATGTACAACAACCCTTCAGGCATGTAAACCAAACTGCTTCTATTTAAAGGCAGAGTTTCTTTTCCTTGTGTCTGGTTTGTGTCTCAGCTTCCGTTCACTAACCTAAAATCACTTCAGTCCTGCAGAAGGGATCCAGAGGAAGCATGGGGGAAAGGGAACAGGCGATAGATGCCAGGGGTGCATCTCTAAGAAGGTGGGAGCACATAGGCCAGGGAGTGCCTCTTGCCCTGTGTTTTTCTTCTGTCCTCTGACTACAGAGGGAAAGAATTTTAAAGCTTTTTATGACATCCTTCCCCTTGACCGTTCTGAGGTCAGGTATCAGAGCATTTTACAGGACTTCTGAGATCCCAGAGTTGTTCCCAGCAGAGACGGAAGTCCTGGAATGCTTGGCTTCTTTTGAGGAACTGCTGGAGGAAAACCAAACAACAAAATGAAAATGAAACAAAAGATCCTCCTGGTATACAGACTGGAAAGGAAGCAACGTTGTTGAATGCTTGTGCATGTGGACTGTGAAAGCTGAATTGGAACACAGTCTTGGTCGGCAAGCTTAGAAACTGACAGCTACTGAATCTCTTCCTCTACAACGCTGTGTTTTATTTTTTATTTTTTTCAAACTCAAGTTCTGATGTGTGAAGAATCACAGTGACTGGCCCAGAGTTGGTTTAGAAGAGGAAAGGTGAGCTCTGTGATGGTGACACATTCTATCCTGTCTACTGACTTAGAAACCCTTTCCTTTTTTGTGCCCCCTGACCTACATTTTCAAACACTCAAAGGTATTGGAAAGAGAATGTTATAGGACTTCTTTGATTCTGGGGCTGGAGAGATGGCTCAGTGATTAAGAGCACTGAAGGCTCTTGCAGAGGACCTGGGTTCAGTTCCCACCACCCCCTGGGAGCTGATAACCATCTGTAACTCCAGTTCCCAGACATCTGAAGCCTTCTTGTGATTCCAGGGGCACTGGATGACACAGGTGTACCTGCATACATCCAAGCCATACACTCATACACATATAATAAAAATAATAAAATATTTTTAAAAGACTTTGGTTGAATCTCCTTTTTGAGTCAATGGTACAAATGAGATTTCTATTATGAAGATGTTTAATAGGAATGCATAGTTTGGTTTTACTTTTGTTGACACATGAAGTCAGTTTCATCTCTCATCTCACTCTCTGTCCCTGGAAAACTTTAGGCAGCCCATGGGCCCAGGACCTATTTGAAAGAACCAATGGTAAGAACACTTTGCAATTCCTGTTGGAGTAAGTTAGGATACCTCCTGTCCAGGAAACATGATGGCTCTCTACCTTGGCTTATAATTGATTCTTCTTTTTAATTATACTAGTTTAAGTATAAATCATCTTGTTCACCAAAATAGTCCCTTGGTGATGATGGTTTTCAAGTCATTGTAATATATACAAAAGCCAGGAAATCTGTTAGGGATTCTTGCCCTAGAATTTTAGTATTTTGAGCCAGATAACTGTGGGGTTGGCTTGCCAAATGTTAAGCACCATCCTGACCTTACCAGGTAAAAGTTTGCAGTGCCAGTAGATGGCAGTTTTGATTACAAGCTTTACTCTGACATTCCTGGATATGCTGAGGCTCAGGGATGGATGACTCCAAGTTAGGAACTGACCCTCCAGTTACAGGTCACACTTCCAAACATCCACACCATCTTCTCTTCAAACAAATCAATGAAAGGGATTGGTGATCAAAACAACAGTAACATTTCAATTCTCCAAAGTCAAAGGTATCTTTTCCTTGTGAATTCAGTCTACATTTAGCTTCTGAGGGATTGAGGAGTCCAGGTTGGCATGGTGCTTTTAATGAGTTTAAAAAGTCATGTTGAAAGATCATCCCATGGTTTGTCCATGTACTGTGACAAACTTATTTAAGCAGCAGCAGTCCCGATGTCTTCTGTGTTGGTGGAATGCACGGTTTGACTAAAACTAGCAATTTTAACTTACTTATCACTCCTAATACAACTTCTATAACACAGGTGTATAAAAAGATACAGCCTAGGGAGAGTGAGTATGGCCAGGTCATTCTGTGAGGAACTCTAGAAGCTATTGTGCTGTTAGAACTCTTGTTTTAAATTCTGATATTCACAGAGAAAAAAAGTTAGAGGAAAACACCCAGTTTTGAAGAAGACTAACTTTCAAGATTTTATAGTACTCATCCATGTTCATTATATTTGTTTAATTTTGCCCTAAAATACAACCCCTTTATAAAACTGTACTTGTTAAAAAGTACATAAAATAATGAAGGTCTGAATACTGAATCTAGTATCTTCTCCCTTCTATCCAGATGATGAGGAGAAAATCACCAGCAGCGGTGTGTGGGCTGAGAGTCCCATCTTAAGCCCAGTGTTCAGAAAGAAACCAGTGTTGGAGAGATGGGGGAACAGTTAGGAGATCTCCCTGCTCTTCCAGAGATCTGAGTTCATTTCCGAGCATCTACACCAGGCTGCTCATAACAGCCTCTAACTCCAGCTCCAGAGTATGTGAAATCCTCTTCGGGCCTCTGAGCATACTGCACACACACACACA